ATAACAATAGGTAAAACGTTGCCGGGTGCAGTGGCTCACACCTGTAATTCCAGTGACTTGGGTGGCTGAGGCAGACATATTGCTTGGGGCCACATTGGGGGACTGAGGTGAGAGCATTGCTTGAGCCCAGGAGTTCAAGGCTTCAGTAAGCTATGATTACACCCACTCCAGCCTGGGCAAAGAAGTGAGACCTTGTCTCCAAAAAATCATTAAAAAAAATGTTTTTGCCTTATGGAGCATTTCTGAAAAAAAATCTCCAGCGATAGAGGTAATAGTTTCACAATACGTTGTAAAAGTTAAACAAAGCATTATAAACACAACGGTGTTAGGTAAAGTTAATTGAATTGATGGGACTGTCTTAGTCAAAGGTCTTGGTGATTGATGGCAATCTGATCCACTCCTACTGGAAAACAGATTTACCTTTTATGAAATAGTGACTTGAAGGCCCATTCCTTTAATAAGGGACTCTTATGTATTTCTTTTTTATTTATTTATTTATTTTTTGAGTTGGAGTCTCACTCTGTCACTCAGACTGGAGTGCAGTGGCACGCTCACGGCCACCGCAGCCTTGACCTGCCAGGCTCAGGTGATCCTTTCACCTTAGCCTTCCAAGTAGTCAGAACTACAGGTGTGCACTACCACATCCGGTTAATTTTTTAATTTATTGTAGAGACGAGGTCTCGCCAAGATGCCCGGGTTGGTCTCGAACCCATGGTCTCAGGCAATCCTCTCACCTCCGCTGCCCAAAGTGCTGGGATTATAGGTGTGAGCCACTGTGCCCAGCCGAACCTTATGCATTTCTGACTCTTATAAACTCTGACATTACTCGGTAATTCAGGGCTTAGTGCATTATTCCAAAGCATGTTTTTACCCAGTTAAAGAAGTACTTTGTGACCCACCAACTGATGACAGCAAGATCTTACATGCTCTAGAACCCAGAGACAAGGTCTTTTGGAAATGACTCCAGAGGAAGACTGCCCTTGAATGCCATTGGAAGAGACCACACCACGTTCTTCTCTACAGCAAAGCTTCAGGGCCTCAAGTCTTGGGTCTACCTCTCTCAACTCAAAAGGGCTCAACCAGATTGCTGGAACTGTACACCTGTTAGAGACCGTAAGGTAAAGCTGACCAGGGAAGCTTTTCCCCAGAAGCAGGTGGCCTCCTAGATGTGGACAGTTTTCCCAAGATCACAGAGCAAGACTTCTCCGCCATCATGAAATAGTACCCTGACCTTTTTAATTAATAATATGACTGAGGTTGGGTGCGATGGCTCACACCTGTAATCCCAGTACTTTGGGAAGCAGAGGTGAGAGGATTGCCTGAGCCCAGGGATCTAAACAAGATCAACTGGGCAACATGGTGAGACCTCATCTCTACAATAATTCAAAATAAATTAGCTGGGCATGGTAGTGCATGCCTGTAGTTCCAGCTACTTGGAAGGCTGAGGTGGAAGGACCACCTGAACCCAGCAGGTAGAGGCTGTGGTGACCATGAGCATGCCGCTAAACTCCAGTCTGGGCAACAGAGTGAGACTCTGACTCAAAAAATAATAATAATGATAATTGAAGCCAGGTGCAGTGGCTCACGCCTGTAATCCCAGAACTTTGGGAGGCCGAGGATGAAGGACTACTTGATCTCAGGAATTCAAGACCAGCCTAGGAAACATAGTGAGAATTAGTCTCTACAAAAAACAAAAACGAAAAACAAAACTAGCCAGGCACAGTGGCGCACACCTGTAGTCCCAGCTACTCAGGAAGATGAGGCAGAAGGATTGCCTGAACCTAAGACGTCAAGGCTGTAGTGAGCTGAGTGTACCACTGCACCCCAGCCTGGGTGACAGAGTCAGACCCCAACTCAAAACAAAAAGAGTAATGGCTATAAAATACAGAGAAGCTACCTGAGTGATGCCTGCAAAAGGTATACTGTGCTTTCAGGTGCTGCATACTCATGAGCTGGACACTATGTGGTAGAAGTAATTGCTTGGATGATGTCACTGGGCTAAATTCAAGAAGGTCCTTTTTTGCTAAATGCAATTATGCAAACTTACAGCATGCTATGAAGGGGCCACAAGAAAGTGAGTTTCCCTCTGGACCTTGTTCAGGAATGATAGGTACAGACTTAAACAAATTTAACTGGTCTGTGCTCACACACCACAAGGTGGCGCTCTTTCCCAGTCCCCAGGACCTATATCGGGTCTGCAGAGAATTTGCCTACCCTCTTCTGCTTCCTTGCTAGTCCAGATCTTGCTATTCCCACCTGCAGAATAGGTTGTTCCCATCATGCCACCCAAAGTGGTCAACAGCCAAAACCACTACCAACCCCCAGATAGATGGAGATGTTTGTTTCCAACGAGGAATGATTCAAATGGGACTCCTGGGACATCCCCCTTGGCTGTATGTAAATAGAGTGCCCTTTATGTGGAATTTGAAGCTAATCATAAATTGACGGGAAATCTGGGATTTTTTAGCCAATCAGATCTCCCAGGAGACAGAAAGGTAGAAGCCACTCTCCCAAACATGGACAAGAATGTTCACGGTCCACAAAACCACTAGAAGGTCACACAGCTTAGATCTTCGCTCACGCTGGGGCTTGTGTAAGGTGCTGAACGAAACGGAAGAGGGCACTTATCTCTTCCCTGACTTTAGTACCACAGAAAGCTTGATTTCAAAGGTGGCTGATACCACTGTTGCTCTAGACACTGCCACAATTTAAGGGAATTTCTAGGGAGAAGGGAACACATGATGTGTTTACGGGAGCCGTTGGCTTGAGGGCACCCGAATGGCGAATGGTGAGCTTTCCTATTCCAAGGTTTTCTCATCCACATGAGGTTTTCCTCGGCTCTCCAGGTTACTATGACTTGCATTGCCAGGCTAACTCCAGGGATAGATACCTCTTTATATCAGTTTTCCAGTGAACTATGGCCTTAATCACCATCATGCCCCAAACAAAGACTATGACCAGTGGAACTCTTGGACTGTTTTTATGCTGCATCTTTATTGCCTGGACTTTGAACTGTTTGATTCTGGTGAGTTGGGTTTAGGAGACTCCTGTGAAGGTGTGTCCTTCAGTTTCTTGGAATGACCCCCTTGATGGACATCATCAGTGTTTCCTGGGTGTATTGTTTTCCCCTAAGCATTGTAAATGCTCACATGCAACCAGCCCTCACACACCTATGGTCTCATTATGGTGAGAATAATAAAGACATGAAGAAAGCATCAAGAATCATATAACTAATTTGACAGTGTGAATTGTGAAATTCATACTGAGGCCAGACAAGTCCGTTATGATGGTGACAGAAAGCGGTGTCTGTGCCCAAGGTTTGACCAGACTCTCAAAATTGAGAGGCTGGCCAAAAGAAGGAATTGCTAAATGAAACTGAACTCGGCCTAAAGCTGCCTGTGTAGGGGGCAAACTGTAACCTAACAACATGTAAACAAACTGCAACCTAACTCAAGAATGTATTCTTGTAACAAGTAAATATGTCTCAGCCAATCATAGCAGTGGAGCTTTCAGCAAATCACAGACTGTGAACTGCTCGGATATGTCCAAATAAGGCAAACACCAAGTTGTAACCCATCAGGCTATCTATTTGTCACTTTCTTTTTCTGTCTATAATACTGTCTGCCGGGGGGATTGCTTGAGGCCAGGAGTTCAAGACCAACCTGGGCAACATAGTGAGCTGCTCAGGTCTACAAACAATAAAATAGAATATAAATACCACCTGCCTAGGTTGTTTAATGGAGCTCTCTGAACATTTACTGGTTCAGGGTGCTGTCTATTCATGAATTGTCTCTTTGCTCAAATAAACTCTACTAAACTTGTTTGAAGTTGGCTGGGTACAGTGGCTCACGTCTATAATCCTAGCAGAGGCAGAGGCAAGAGAATTGCCTGAGCCCAGGGGTTCAAGACCAGCCTGGATAACTTGGCAAGACCTCGTCTCTACAATAAATCAACAAATTAGCTGGGTGTGGTGGCTCACACCTTTAGTTCCAGCTACTTGGAAGGCTGAGGCAGAAGGATCTCTTGAGCCCAGCAGGTCGAGGCTGTGGTGGCCATGAGCGTGCCACTGTATTCCAGCCTGGGCAACAGAGTGAGACTCCAATGCAAAAAAAAAAAAATTGTCTAAAGTTTTTCTTTTCACAGGTCCAAGAAGAAAATTTGGATGGAGCTGTGACATTGTTGCCTCCAGATGACCAGTCTGGGGTGGGGGTAGCCCGCCACTTTCTCTCACTATTTATTTTATATGCTTCTCTACTTCTGGAATTCTTTTGCACTAAGTGTGTACTACTTTTGCATACTTCTTTTTTTTTTTTTTAGAAAGTAGGATTTGGCTGGGCTCAGTGACTCAGCCTGTAATCCCAGCACTTTGGGAGGCTGAAGCAAGTGGATTGCCTGAGCCCAGTGAGTTCAAGAACAGCCTGGGCAACTTGGAGAGACCTCGTCTCTACAATAAATCAAAAATTGGCTGGGCGTGGTAGCGCATGCTTGTAGTTCCAGCTACTTGAAAGACTGAAGCAGAAGGATCACCAGAGCCCAGCAGGTCAACACTGGGGTGGCCGTGAACATGCCACTGCACTCCAGCCTGGGCAACAGAGTGAGACTCCAACTCAAAAAAAAAAGAAACTCTCTCACTTTTAGCAAGGTAGTTTACGGTGTGGGTTAAAAAAACAAAAAAACAAGAAGGAAAAAGAAAAGAGGAAATCAACGATGTTTGTTTTGACCTCGCCTCTTGAGGAATGTGAAATTTATTCTCTCTCTATTGAGAGAAATTTATTCTCTCTCTATTGGGAGAACAGAAAAGCTCTCTCTATTGAGAGAACAGAAAAGCTCCCAGAGCAGGCGGGGACCCAAAGTGGTCGCCCACTTTTGCATACTTCTTAAAAGGCAATATATAGACAGCAATGCTGTCGCTGCCATGTGGTGTGTGCATGAGGTTGCCAGTTGCACAAGCCCACCCCAGCAGCCCTCTGGCCCCACCGACCCCACCAGCCCCACCGTACCATCAGCAAGGAGAACATGGTCTGCCCCACGTTGAAGCCGTGCCGCCAGTTGTGGTAGGTGATCTTGCGGTAGCCCTTACTCAGGGAGTACATGAACCGCACCAGGGCCTGTGAACACACATGCACATCAGTGGGCAGGAAGCAGTGGCCAGGGGCCCAAACCCTTCTCTCCCGAGGCCTGAGGTCCTCCTGCCCCACCACTGGACCAGAAGGTGGGAACCAGCAAAAGATGCAGCAGTGCTGTGGACATGCTTTGCAAACTGCTAAATACTATGAGAGTGGAATTGCTGTCGGAAACGAGGTGGGTGCTCGTCATTCCACTGCCAGCTTCCTCAGGGAGGCCAAACCCCAGGGAGCTGGTGTCCTGAGAGAAGCCAGCCACGGCTTTACAGTAGAGGAAAGCAAAATGTGGGCTCTTTATCCTGGGTTCTCAACCTGAATGTGCGTCAGAACCACTTGGAGGCTTGAAAACAGGTTTTTTTTGGGGGGGGGGGAGTGGGCAACAAAGCTATTCATGGCCTTCAGGGCTTAGTGCCTCAGAGTCCTACTACAAGAAGCCAGTGCACCCAAAATGTCACACTGCAGGGGAACAGTGTGTCTCTGTTCTGATAAATGACTCATCTGTGCCACATGACTAATGCTTTCAATCCCAAATGCTGAGGGCACACTTTTAGAAAGGTAGTTTACGGTGTGGGTTAAAAAAAAAAAAAAGCAAGGAAGAAGGGAAAAGAAAAGAGGAAATCAAAGATGTTTGTTTTGACCTCACCTCTTGAGGAATGTGAAATTTATCCACCACTTTGAGCTCATAATACATCTGGATCCCACATTTCACCAGCTCCAGTTCTGTTAGGGGCAAGTCACTGAAGTGGAATCTGTTGATTTCAAACTTCTCGGCATCGGGAAGCTCTGCTTGCTGTGGAAGGAACAGGGCTATGGGTCAGGGGTCAGGAAGGGCTGCTGGGTGTCCGCCTCCCCCAGCCCCGTCCCCATCCCGATGACTGGGAGGATCGGAGCCGAGCGACAGGGAAGGGGTTCTGCAGAGAGACGTGCTCCAGGGCATCGGGCACGTGCCACGTGCTGGGTCGGGGCGGTGCAGCCGGGCCAGCTCACCAGGATCTCAGCCAGCTCCTCCTCCTCACACTCCCACGGCTCTTTCCCGTACACCTCTCTGGTTTTCTGCCGGGGTCCCAAAGCAGCGGAGAAGAAAACAGGTTATTATGCCCAAGGCCTGAACATGGCTTCATGTTTGCATTCCCATTTCTCCCTTCTCCACGTCCCTGTGACAGCCCCCAGATCAGAGAGGCTGCCACGCGGCATTTGTCGACACACCAAGTCAAAGGCGGGGCTTTGGAGCCATAGATACCTGCACCCAAATTCAAGCTCAGCCACCTGTTAGCAGTGTTATTTGATGCCTCTGAGCCTCAATTTCCTCATCTGTAAAATGGGTAAGATAAAAGTGCTTAACTGGTAACTTAAAATTCAATTGTGCCAAGTCCTTTTTAAAAAACGGGCACCACCAAATTAAATCATGTATGCAAAGCACTTAGCCCAATGGTTGGCAAATATGTTGATGCCGACAATTTTACTGTTATTATTAACTGACCGGGAGTAAGGAGGTCTTGGCTACCGTGCTGGTTCTTCTACCAAGCTGGCACAGTAGCTTGGGGCAAGTTTCTTCCCTCTCTGGGCCTACCTGCCCGTGAGCCAGAGCAGAGGGGAAATAGACTGTGACTTGTTTCTGACATCTTGACCCAGAGCAAAGCCTGTTAACCTCCGGCTGGTTCACAGAAGCTGTGGCTCCAAGGTTCCACATGCCCCTCGTTTGGCTGAAACTGTGGACCAAGCAAAGTAAACCGTGAGGCAACTCATACAAAATGGGTGTGTTTTCCTTGGCATGTACCAGTTATGGGGATGAAATGATCAAATTTGTTGTGACATCTTCCCAGCTTAAGAAATGGCCTGTGAGAACACTGGCCTACGTTCAACTTCTGAGGCCTGTAAGTCAGCGTCTAGGGAGCTCAGCAGGGCACCAGGCCCATTGCCATTGGCGAACTCGGTGTTCTTCCAAATCTTGTTCTCTTTGAGACCAAAACCCCAGGAATAATGAATGACTGATTCTCACATATCTTTGAAAGCATCTAGTCCAATTTCTCACCCCAGGAAGGATTCTCCTCTATAGCATCTCTGGTATATGCTCACCCAGCCTCTGCTTGGATACCTCTCCTGATGGGGTGCTCACCTCCTCCTAAGGCAGCCCATTCATAAGAATGGTCGAGAAGTTGTTCATCATCCTGATAAAGGTTAGGTGAGGCCTTTCACAAATGGGTGATTTGGGAACAAGTTACTTCCCCTTCCGTGTCTCAGTTTTTCCATCTCTACAATGAGGATAGAAACCCTTACCCTGCCGGAGTTACTGGACTAATGCAAGCATCTAACCGGCTCATACGTGTGGCTACGCCTTATAAACTGTATGGTGATGAAACACTGTCAGGGCTCCCAACAACCTCTGAGCTACTTCATTGCTCATCAAACTCTTCTGGGATCTGAGAGGGTCTTCTAAGTGAGCTGGGCCCCAGGAGGGAAGCACTGAGAAACGGACCAGCGCCCTTTGGTCTTTCTGAGAAAGCTTTCTCTCGGAGGAGTGGCTGCGGCAGGTTAGCCCTGTTCTCAGGACCAGGTCTGCCCTGAGCCCAGCAAAAACTGGAGTTTCTGGAGTGGTGAAGATAATTTCTGGTCCCAAGCCACACCAAGCAGGCGTGATGAGCCACTCTCCGACACCCACCCCTCCATTCGTCCCATTTCGAGGGCTGCTAGGTGTGGATGTATCTGCTGTTGTTTCTTGTGTTAGGCAGGAGGAAACAACAGCAGATACACCCACATCCAGGCTGTGCCCCCGTGGGGGTTCAAGTCTCGCCTTAGTCTGGCCACATCTCTGAGGCCCCGACTCGGTTAGAGCAGAAACAAGGACATTACACACCAGGATGTGTTGAACCTCATCATTGTCACACGTCACGTGATATTTTACTATGTCCTGGAAAATATCCTTTCGGTTTTCAAGTCTGTTCATCGACTCATAGGTGTCAGGATTTAAGACAGACCAGCCCAGAAATTGAGCCAAAGACTGAAAAAGAAAGAAAGGCGGAATCAGAGACAGAACACTTGGGTTTGATCCTGACTCGATAACGTAGGCAAGACACGAGGCCTCCATTTTCTCAGCTTTTAAATGGGTTTTGCAGGCTGTGTGCAGCCACCTCACAGACCCATTTTAAGGATTAGATGAAGCACTAACACATGTTTCTGATGTATAAGAACTCTACAAAAAGGGAATGTGTTTTTTATGCGTGGGGCAGGGGGTATATAGGAACTCTCTGTAGTTTCTGGCCTTGAATTTGGCCATGAAAAGCAAAGTTTCTTGATCAAAATGTTGAATGGGGTCGTGGCTTCCCCTGACAGCACCTCAGGGCTGTGCAGAAGCGAGAATGTGGGAAGTGGTTCTCGGGGGCGGGTCAGGATCGCACCAACTGGGTAAGTCTCCCACCATCCCCGGGTAGGGCAGTGATACCAGGGCCCCAGTGCGCAGCTCTGGGAGCCAACGCAGCAGTGAGTCCCAGCAGCAGGAGTCCTGGCAGACCGTACCTCCATGAGGGTCTCATCCATCTCATCAAAGGGCTTCCCATCTTTGCGGTTATAGAAGGTGGCCACCCCAACGATCTCTTCCTTCTTGTTCACGATCGGCATGGAAAGCACATTTTTGATCATCCATCCAGACTCATCCAGAGGTTCCTTCTACAAGACAAAAGCCAACTTAGGCTTCCCTGGTTCTAGGTTGTAGGGGCAGTTGTGGTGGGTTCACGCTGCATCGTGACCTGACGGGGTCACTGAGTGGGGCAGCAAGAAGATGCTGCTTGCTGGATTTTGCATGGTCTGGGTCACTGGCACAAGCCGTGAGCCATAGCCCATCTGGCTGAAATTCCTCAAGCCACACAGCCACGTGGTTTTCCTCCCTCAAGCGTTGGACATTGCGGGTGAGGCAGTGTGTCATGGGCTGGGGACATAAGGATTTGCCCAGAGAGGTGGTGTTTCTGTTCAGATGCAGGAGGTGACGGCAGGGGCCTGGTTTAAAAAGGCAGTGCTGGCCGGGCTTGGTGGCTCAGCCTGTAATCCTGCACTTTGGAAGGCTGAGGTGAGTGGATTGCCTGAGCCCGCGGGTCTTGAACCCGCAGTAACTTGGCGAGACCTCATCTCTACAATAAATCAAAAAATTAGCCGGGCGTGGTAGCGCGCACCTAGAGTTCCAGTTACTTGAAAGGCTGAGATGGAAGGATCACCAGAGCCCAGCAGGTCGAGGCTGCGGTGGCCGGGAGTGGCCACTGCATTCCAGTCTGGGCGACAGAGTGAGACTCCAACTCAAAAAAAAAAAAAAAAAGAATGCAGTGCTGGCCTCGTAACCTTGAGCCAGTCAACTAGATAGCACCTGTGCTTTTTGCCTCTTGGTCTGACTTTCTGGGTTGCTTTTGGTGAGACATTTATGTCCCTGGGCCTGATTTTCTCATCTCGAGATGGGAAAGAGCATGTGCCTCAATGAACAAATGCCGTCTTGGTCACTTCCAAGATAGCTTTAATGAGTCCTTTCCCATCTGTCTGAGCCTCACCTTCATCATCTATAAAATGGGGGGAATTGAGCTCACTTCTAGATTCTATTTCCATCAGTTCATCCAACGTTTGCCGTGCGCAAGAAACGGAGACTGAGGCTGGGAAGCCAAGGTAAGTAAGGCACAGATCGTGTCCTCAGCTGCTCTTCACCTGTGAGGTAACCAGCACCTGTGGTGCAGGGCAGAGACTTCTCTCAGAGAGATCTCTCAATGGCACTGTGGGAGCCAGAGGAGAGAAGGAAGGCAAAAAATCTTCCTAGGGAAGTGAGTCTCTCAGCTCTGCGGTTTCAAGATTTTTTTTTTTTCCTTAGAGATAAAGTCTTCCTTAGTTGTCCAGGCTGGAGTACAGTGGCATGCTCATAGCTCACTACAGCCTTAAACACTTGGGCTCAAATAATCCTCCCGCCTCAGCCTCCTGAGTCACGGGGACTATAAGCACACAGCACCATGCCAAGCTAACTTTTAAAAATTTCTATAGAGAGAGGGTCTCTTTATGTTGCGCAGGCGGGTCTTGAACTCCTAGCCTCAAGTGATCCTCCTGCCTTTGCCTCCCCAAATGCTTGGATTATAGGCACGAGCCACCACACCTGGCTGGTTTCAAGATTCTTAAGGTGGTACGATGTTACTTGTTATTATGTAAATAACTCAGAAAAGTAGCCAGGCATGGTGGCTCATGCCTGTAATTCCAGCACTTTGGGAAGCCAAGGCGGGAGGATTGCTTGAGCCCAGGAGTTCGAGACCAGCCTGGGCAACATAGCAAGACACCATCTTTACAAAAATAAAAATAAAAAAATTGGCTGAGCATGTGGCATGAGCCTGTACTCCCAGCTACTTGAGAGGCTATGGTGAAAGGATTGCCTGAGCGCAGGAGGTCGAGACTGTAGTGAGCCAGGACTATGCCACTACACTCCAGCCTGGGCAACAGAGTGAGACCCTGACTCTAAATAAATAATACTGAAAAGTGAGACAACTCTGTCTGAGCACCTGTTGAGAAAGGGTTTCCAGAAAGATGAAGAACATTGCTTGGGGGGCACAGGGCTGCTTCGAGTTAAGACCTGCCATCCGCAGCTCTCTACCCAAACTTCAGGGAATCCCTTTTCTGTGTAGGCCATAATAAGAAGACAGATTGTATTGAAAGTGAAACAGGCCGGGCTCGGTGGCTCAGCCTGTAATCCCGCGCCTTTGGGAGGCTGAGGTGAGTGGATTGCCTGCGCCCGCGGGTCGAGACCCGCTTGGACAACTTGGCGAGACCTCATCTCTACAATAAATCAAAAAAATTAGCCGGGCGTGGTAGTGCGTGCCTGTAGTTCCAGCTACTGGAAGGCTGAGGCAGAAGGATCGCCGGAGCCCAGCAGGTTGAGGCTGTGGTGGCCAGGAACCGCCACTGCACTCCAGTCTAGGTGATAGAGTGAGACTCCAACTCAAAAAAAAAAAAAAAAAAAGAAAGTGAAACAGGGCACCATCAGCAATGTTTAAACTAGGAAGTTTCTTGATTCAACCTGTGTTTTAAAAAAAAACCACTCAGGCTGCTTTGTGGAGGAGTTGGAGGAGAAAGACTAGCAGGATTATATTTGCTTTGCTTTTTTCTTTTTCTTTTCTTTTCTTTCTTTTTTTTTTTTCTTTTGAGTAGGAGTCTCACTCTGTTGCTCAGACTGGAGTGTAGTGGCACCTCACAGCCACTACAGCCTCAACCTGCTGGGCTCAAATGATCCTTCCACCTCAGCCTTCCTGTAGCTGGAAACACAGGCACGCACCACCACACCTGGCTAATATTTTGATTTACTGTAGAGATGGGGTCTCACCAAGTTGACCAGGCTGGTCGCGAATCCCTGGGCTCAGGTAATCCTCTCGCCTCTGCCTCCCAAAGTGCTGGGATTACAGGCATGAGCCACCATGCCCGGTTTACATTTGCTTTTCTAATGTGGTTAAACCACAATCAGATGGATGATTTGAGCAAAGACAAAGTTCTGTTGTAGTCACGATTAGGTAACTCTTTGGGCTTATCACCCTGATGTGGTCGAAATCACATAACAGGTGAAGTGGATTTTTACCTTGGAAATGTTTTCTCTCTAAGTTATTTCATAATGTTCTTTAGAGAGTAAAACATAACTGCCTGATTTTCCTATGAGTCATTTTTGCTTCCTTCTTAATTACTTCCTGATGGGTAATGTTTTGTTTGTTTAGCCCAGCATGCTAAGTCCAATACATATTGACAGAGCACCTAGGGCTGAGGATGTCAGGAAGGTCAGACCCAGCCTTGACCGAAGGACTCAAATGTTTTCCTGGGAGAAATCCATCTGAGGCAGAAGTCAGGATAATACAAGATGACATGAGGAAAACACACAAGAGAGATCAGCTCGTTGGCAGCCTCTCAGACCCTGCATGGCCCACCTCTGTCTACTTCTCTAGACTCTTCTGCCAGTCTCTCTCTCGGCTTCTCACTCAGATTTGTTGCTTATTCTGTTCCTCCCAATAAGCCACCCCTTTCCTGAGGTTGTCATTAAAGAGCAGTGGGGATTTGGGCGGAGATGACGAATGAGTGAGAACAGCATAAGCAAATGCCCTGAGGCCACAGCCAGGTGTGATGGCATGTGCCTGTTGGCCCAGCTTCTCAGAAGGCTGAGGCAGGAGGATTGCTTGAACCCAGGAGTTTGAGGCTGTAGTGTGTTATGCTTACATCTGTGAATAGCCGCTGCACTCCAACCTGGGCAACATAGCAAGATACTGTCGTAAAAAAAGAAAATTCCTGGAAAATCTGAAATACTTTAATGTCTAAACCTGACAATAAAACTTTGGAGGTTTTGTTTATTGTATATCTTGGGGGTGTCGGGGAAGGCCTGAGACCAGAAAGCAAAGGCTGGGTGAATGCCAACACTGAATGGGACCTTGGAAGTGACCCAGTCAACCCCCTGCCCTGTCCACCCACCAAGCACAGGAGCTTTCTTTAGTCCTGTTGTTACCATGTTGAGACTGCTTGTCAACAGAGCAGGTGAACTCCAATGTATGCTAGTGCTCATTTTGGAGGGGAAAAAAAAAAACAGTCATATGACAAAGAGAGCAAGTACAAATGACTTACCTGGAATTCAAAAAAGTCCTCATCAGGTGCGTTCATGATGTTGCAAATCTGAAAGCCATGAGGGGAATAATGGAGCATGATTAAACCAGAGAGCACCCATGCAGTGCTGCCCACTGCTTCCAGAAGCCCATGTCCTCGCCGCAGGCATGCCCACACTCACACCAGGCAGACACACTTGAGACGGCTGTGAATTATTAACTGAGGCACTGGCTGGGAAAGGTTCTTTATAAACTGCTTTTTTGCTGTTCACGTCCAGCTCTGGAAAAGCTAAGGTGACAATGTGACCTCTCCATCGCCAAACCCAGTGGGGTTTTGCTTCTCTCACCTGCTCACTCTGCAGCGTTTGATGTCTCTCTCCATGCCGAAACTTCCTACCTCCTTGGTTTCCATGATACCCACACTAGTAGTCATAGAGCATCCTACTTTGTTGTTCCCCTTTGGTTGAGTATTGGGTTGTGTCCAGGTTTTTGAAAAACATTTAATATTAATAATGTTACTCTAAATATATTTGACTCAGGTTGGATATAGTGGCTCACTCCTGTAATCCCAGCACTTTGGGAGGCCTAGGCAGGAGGATTTCTTGAGCCCAGGAGTTCAAGACCAGCCTGAACAACAGCGAGACCTCATCTCTACACATGGTAATGTGTACCTGAGTAGTCCCACCTACTCAGGACGCTGAGGCAGAAGGATCACCTGAGCCCAGGAGTTTGCGGCTGCTGTGAATCATGACTGTGCCACTACACTCAAGCCTAGGTGACAGAATGAGATCCTTACTCAAAAATAATAAATAAATGCATAAATAAATCTGACTCAATGATATTTGGTTTCTATCATGCTTGTTTTGGCAGGAAGAGTTTCCCCCCTTGGAGTATAAACCCCAAAGTAGAATAAGAAATGGAAGGTGCTATACCTCTGGCTGTATGAGGCCAGATTCCTCTCCTGGAAGTTAGACCAGCTCACCCTGCCACGCAAGGGATCAGGTGATACATGTGTGACTCCCCCAGAGCCCTGCCACTGAGCAGTTGTGCACAGCTGTGCAGCTGTAGGCCAATGAGTGGCTGGAGCTGAAATCCACCCTGGACACTACAGCCAGCCCTGTCCCTTCTCTAGTCACCTACGGAGAAGTGATGGCTTCGAGGTCTCAAGAGGGCACCCCGAGGCTGGCCACGACCCTGCCTGTCAACATGGGCAGGGACTGTCTGGCCCTTGGAGGGAGTTGCTCCTCCTCTGGCTCTCCCGGGACCAACCCACCACTGCCTTGCTCTCCTGACTCCGGACCCTTGGAGGGCCTTTCCTCTCAGCCCAGCGCAGGCATGGGTCTCTCCCATTCCTGACGGTGACACCCCTCCTTCACCGGCCATCTCCCATGCACACCCAGAAGTCCCCGCCTTTCTCTTGCACCCTTCTCGCCACCCGTCTCCACTCAGTGGACACAGGCTGGTTTCTAGTCCCACCACGCCCCTGAGCCTCTCTCATCTGGGCCACCATGACCTCTCCTCTGTCAAACCCAGCGGGGTTTCAGTTCTTCTCTCGCCCGTTCACACTGCAGCGTGTGACCACCTCTACTTGTTGAAACTTTCCACCCATGGTCTCCCTGATGCCACCCTCTCCTGGGGCTCCAAACGCCTCTGAGCCCTCCTCTGTTCCTCCTCACACGCCCCTCCTTCTCCACCCTCTGTCAGTCCGATACCCTCGACACTGCACCTGGGGCTCATCGCCCGCCTCACACCCCAGTCCCTTTCTCCACACTCAGAGGTCCTAACACCACATGGCCTGACCTCTGCCAAATCTCTATCTCCACTCCCCCTGCCGCCCAACAGCGTCAGAATCGTCTCTCCATCGACTGGACGTTGGCTCCTGAGGAAGGTCTCATCCCCACTACGACTGGAACCGGCCTCAGCATCCCCGACCCAGGCCCAACGGCAGTGCTATCCATCTAGTCTAGGAGCCTGAAATTGGCCTGACTCCTCTCTCCCTCCTTCTGCCTGCGATCAGCTCCAAAGCCCTGCCAGCCCTGCCAGTCCCACCCTCTGGGTGTCAGACCTGGCCCCATCTCCTTCTGGCCATCTGGTCTCTGTTGGAGTTGCTGTGAGTGTCAGGTGAGTAAATCTAGTTAGTGACTGAGTCCTCGAGAACTCTCGTGTCTGCCACAGTTGTGATGGTCTTGACTGTGCCTGCCTTGGTTGAGATTCTCCCCCCTCTCACAGAACGATGCCCTGGTCGCCCTGCCTCCAGTCCTAGCCCTTCACATTCATTTCCCAGAGTGCTCTTACTAAGTTATCTTGCTAAGGTGAAAGTTGCCTATACTGACCTCCTGCTAAAAACCCATCACCAGTAGATTCAGGTCTCAGTCTCTTGTCTGGTATGCGAGAGCTACAGTGACCTGTTTTTTGTTTTGTTTTTTTTTTTGTTTTTTCCTCTCTCTCTCTCTCTCAAATTTATTTATTTATTTATTTATTTATTTATTTATTTATTTATTTATTTATTTTAGAGACGGAGTGTTGCCCAGGCTAGGGTGCAGTGGCACAATCAGCTCACTGCCATCTCCTTTCTCAGTCTCCCAAGTAACTGGAATTACAGATGCATGCCACCATGCCCAGCTAATTTTTTTTTTTATCTTTTGGAGTCAGAGTTTTGCTATGTCACCTAGGCTGGTCTCAAACTCTTGGGCTCAAGCAATCCTCTCTTCTTGGCCTCTCAAAGCACTAGAAACGCAGGTGTGAGTCACCATGTCCAGTCACTTCTTCCCTCTCCAGACTCATCTCTTGCCATCTGGCTTCAACCCTAACGTTCCAGTGGCACTAACTGCAGGCACACACTGCTCTGGACCCTCGTGTCCCTGTTGCTCACCCACGTTCTTTCCCCCACCTGGAAGTCCCTTGCCGGTGCCCACCTGCCAAGATCTATTTATTTTAAAACTTGGATCAACACATTCTAGGAAATAAAGGCTGATTTACACGCCCCCTACCCTGTATTCCCGGAACACACCATGCACATAACACCGTGCATGTTACTCCGCCGCAGCCTTGGCTTGTTGTAGCCTCAGTTTCTGTTAGTAAAGACATCTCCTTACTCCATTATGAGCTTCAGAACAGAAGCTGCATCTGCTGTTGTATCTTTGTAGCCGCACAGCCTGTCACAGTGCCTGGCACATAGTAAATGCTCAGAAATAAGCACCTGCTACCTGGACGGTACTGTGTAGTGTGACTGGGGAAGGATGCAGGGGTGACCAGGCCCAATATGGGGGTAAAAGCAGCCAACAGACATGACCCTGCTCTCAAACACATGAGATGTGCTTATCTACCCTTGACCCTGAGTGGGTGGGGCATGTTCAGAGATTAATTTTTGCAGAGATCGGGTCTTGCTATATTACCCAGGCTGCCTCAAGCAAGTTTCCAGTTTAACCTCCCAAAATGCTGGGATTACCCGCATGAGTCACCATGCCCGGAAGGGAAATAAACCTTCTGAGCTTTGCCATGTAACATATATATGGCTGGACATGTGGCAGGGATGGGAAGTTGGGAGTGGCAGTTAGGTCTCTATCTTGAGAGGTTGAGACTTAGTCTCTGAGGAGCCTGGTAGACCAGGCAAGTGTGACTTTGCCCCAACACACATACTTAAGCATCTTTAGTTGTCAGTGAGACTATGCCCCTTTCCATCTCAGGCTTATTTCTCTGTGTATTTCATATTCCTCCAACATCAATATCTGTCCATTTCTTTGACCCAATTGTCAACAGAATTGAAGAATGAGAGACTTGGTCTTTCAGAGGTTCTCACTTGCCATCATCTCTTCCACCCTCTTGGCCTGAAATCTTCCTACTCGTCCACCCAATCCAGAACTTTCCCCATTGAAATTGTATTACTTACCAGGCCATTTTGAGCAACGTAAGAGGGGAGCCCGCTGACTAAAGCCCAGTGGTCAGGAGGTGGGTTCCTGCAAAGGTCAAAGACAAACGGTGACTCTCAACGCAAGGACTGCTGGGCCAAAGACTTGACTCGGGTCTGTGCCTCCGCTACTCGGGAGGCTGCCAGCACTCACTTCCTTTCATTGCCTTTGACCAAACCCAAAGTGTTGGCCAACCATCTCACTCTCCGAGTCTAGTCATGGAGAAAATGGTGGCAAGTGTAACTGACTGCCTGTCAAGCCCAACTATCCAAGAAAAGAGACAACATCCATTCTACAGACCGTTGCTGGCTGCTGAGCAAAACAAAACAAAACAAAACAAAAACAAAACCAGATCCCATCACTGCCTTTGTAAGGTTAGTAGCTTAATGCTATGTTGAGAATGAAAAGACTCACCTATGGTGAGCTCCCAGCATACTGAGCACCCAGCTAAGTGTGTCACATACTTGGTTACCTCCACAACAATATTACAATTTCTAGTATTATTACTTTATGCTTGTTTATTCTGAGACAAAATACTTACATAGATTAATGCATTAAAAAGTTCTTGCTTTTCTGTAGTTTTACCACCTAAGATGCTTTCCTGTACCCTTTAGTTGAATTTGGCTTATTTTTCAACCTCATTTAGATGGACTCATACAATGTATATGATGTGTCTGGCTTCCTTTTCACGTTGTCATTTATTAATTGATTTCCAGGTTTCCCTTGCATTACTGTCACAATTATCCACTCAACTGTTGATGGACACACCCCACTCCTCAGTTTGGGGCTAACGAGCATGATGCTGTTGTGAGCACTCTGGTGGCACGTGCTCTCCATTCTACATGGTCTATTCCTAGGAGCAAAAGTTCTGGGTAGGTAAGATGCACCTATCTTCAACCTGACCCGATAAGGCCAAACTGTGTTCTAACGTGATCGTACCAATTCACACTCCCATCCATCAGGTCCTGGAATTTCCTTTGCTCCACAGCTCTGTCAGTACTCAGACTTTTAAATTATAGCCCCGCTGGTGGGGTCTAATGGTATCTCATCATGGGTTTTTTTTCACATTTTCTGCAGAATGAATAAAATGGAGTACCTTCCATAAATGTATTTGTCATTTGCATTGCTTTTATGTGCAGTTCTTGTTCGTGTCTTTTACTAATTTTTTTTGTCTTTCTTTCTTTTTTTTTTTTTACTGTAGAGATGAGGTCTCGCCAAGTTGCCCGGGTTGGTCTTGAACTCGCGGGCTCAGGTAATCCACTCATCTCGGCCTCCCCAAATGCCGGGATTACAGGCTGAACCACTGAGCCCAGCCCCATCTTTTACTCATTTTCTATAGCATTTCTTTTTTATTGATTTGTAGGAGCTCTTTATACATCTTGATATGAGCTCTTTGTCAGTCATCTGTGTTGTAAATATCTTTTCTCACACCATGACTTGCCTTTTCAGGCTTTATGCTAACCAGTCTTCATTCCTTTGTACAGTCACCTCTGACAATGATGAATCAAGACTGATCCTCTGTGACCAACAGAATATGGAGGAGGTGAGTGTGTTCTTGGAAACTGGGTCATGAGAGGTATAGCATCTTTCACAGCTTGCTCTGGGGAAGTCAGCCACCATGTCATGGGTGACTCAAGGAGCCCTCCATAGAGGCCTGTGTAAAGAGGAACTGAGATCTCCTGCCAACAGCCAGAGCCAACTTGCCTGCCATGTGAGTGAGCTTCTTGGGAGGTATACGCTCCTGTTCTAGTTGAACCTTCAGATGATTGGCTCATGCTAGTATCTGGCCACAACCTCATGGGCTACCCTAAGCTGACACTGCCCAGTCAAGCCATACCTGAACTTCTGAATATTCCATATTTATTCTGAATAATAAAGAATGCTAACAGATTACTATTGTTTTTTTAAGCCACTTTTGGGACAATATGTTATATAGAAATAGATAAACTCATACATTCTCAAAAGGTATATTTTGATATAAATAGAAGATCCTTCTCCTAATATGGTCAAATGTGTCAATATTTGTATTTGTTTTGGAGTTCTGCTTAAAATTTTTTTTCTATCTCAAGATCATAAAACTGTTTTTTATGTTATCTTTTAAAAGCATTATAGTTTTGCCTTTTATATTTAGATCCCTAATCCATCTAGAATTTATATTTATGTAATTTATTTTTATTTATTTATTTACTTATTTTTAAGTCGGAGTCTCACTCTGTCGCCCAGGCTGGAGTGCAGTGGAATGCTCACGGCCACCGCAGCCTCAACCTACTGGGCTCAGGCGATCCTTCCACCTCAGCCCTCCAAGTAGCTGTAACGACAGGTGCACACTTCCATACCAGGCTTATTTTTTGATTTATTGTAGAGACGAGGACCCACCAAGTTGCCCAAGCTGGTCTCAAACGCCTAAACTGAGGTAATCCTCTCATCTCTGCTTCCCAATGTGCTGGGATTACAGGTATGTCTACTGTGCCCTGCTGTAATTTATTTTGGGGAGAGGAATCATGTTTCTTTTTTTTTCCCATATGGGTACCCACTTATATAACCATAATTTATTAAAAAGACCATTCTTGGCACCACTGTTTTGCAATGACATATTTGTCACAAACGAAGTAGTTATTGGAAGGGGCACCCTAAAAAAACAGCATTATTGGAGGGTGGGCCCCTTGTAGTACACTTAGAACTTGTTTTTCCAGATCAAACGATTAACCAAAGTTTTTATCTGGAAGTTTTAAGAAGGTGGTGTCATGATTTGTGGAAGAATTATTCCAAGCTGTGGCAAACAGATGACTGGTTCTTCTACCATGAAAACATACTTGCCCGCACCATGCTGAGTGTTCAGTGGTTTTTAACCCAAAATGCCATAGCCCCTCTGCTCTACTCTCCCTATTCACTCCATCGCCCCTTGAGCAACTTTTTTTGTATTCTCCCAGATGAACAACATCCTCAAAGGGAAATGTTTTGCTGATGTGGAAGAGGGGAAACCAAAAATGGCAGAAACCCTAAAAGGCATTAAAATAGATGAGTTCAAAAATTGTTTTCAGCAGTGAAAAATGCATCTCAGTAAGTACATTGTACCTGATGAAAAATACTTTGAAGTTTAAACATGTAAGAAAAGGCCGGACTTGGTGGTTCAGCCTATAAGCTCAGCACTTTAGGAGGTCGAGCCAAGTGGATTACCTGAGCCCACGGGTTCGAGACCAGTCTGGGCAACTTGGTGAGATCTCATTTCTACAATAAATTAAAAAAAAAAAAATTAGCGGGGTGTGGTAGTGTGTGCGTGTAGTTCTGGCTACTTGGAAGGCTGAGGCGGAAGGGACGCCAGAGACCAGTTGGTCAAAGCTGGGGTGACCATGCGTGTGCCACTGCACTCCAGCCTGGGCAACAGAGTGAGACTCCAACTCAAAACAAAGCAAAAAATGTAAGAATAAATACACAATTAAAAATAAATAAATTCCAGGCTGGGCGTCATGGCTTAAGCCTGTAATCCCAGTACTTTGGGAAGCCGAAGTGAGGGGATTGCTTGAGCCCATGGGTTCAAGAACAGCCTGGGCAACATGGCAAGACCTCATCTCTACAATAAATCAAAAAATTAGCCAGGTGTGGTAGCGTGCACCTGTAGTTCCAGCTACTTGGAAGGCTGAGGTGGAAGGATCGCTGGAGCCCAGCAGGTCAAGGCTGTGGTGGTCGTGAGCGTGACACTGCACTCCAGCCTGGGCGACGGAGTGAGACTCCAACTCAAAATGAATAAATAAATTCCAGACTTTTGGGGTCTCCTTCATATACATATGAGTCTATTTCTGGCTCTTTATTCTGTTTCACTGATGTATTCCCCCATCCTTGTGTCATTACCACATTGTCCTAATTACCATAGCTGTACAGTAATTCTTGATATCTAGTTGAGCAATCACTTCTATCTTGATCTTCAAATGTTTCTTGCCTGATCTCGACCTTCTGCATTTTCACAGAAATTTTACCATCCACTTATCAAATCTACACCTAACAAAAGATCTTCTGGAATTTTAATTGGGGTTGTGTTGAATCTATAAACTGATTTGGAGAGAAATGATATTTCACAATATTGAACCAGTTATCCATGATATACCTCTGCATTTTTTAATGTTTCTTTTAATTTAACTCAACAATATGTTATAGTTCTCTGTAAAAAATCTTGCCCAACTTTAGTTATATTTATTCTTAGATACTTGATACGTTTGAAGCTATTGTAAATAGTATCTTTAACAAATGGGTATTTTCTGCCAGGCACTCATGCCTGTAATTCTAGCACTTTGGGAGGCCAAGGAGGGAGGATTGCTTGAGTCCAAGAGTTCAAGACCAGTGTGAAAAACACAGTGAGACCTTGTCTGTAATATACACACACACACACACACACACACACACACATATATACATACACACACACACACACAAATAAGAAAAATTAGATGGGCATGGTGTCATGTGCCTGTATTCCCAGCTACTCAGAAGGTTGAGTCAGAAGGATCATTTGAGCCCAGGAGGTTGAGGCTGCAGTAAACTGTGACTGTGCCATTGCACTCCAGCTTGAGTGACAGAATGAGATCCCAACTCATAAATAAATAAATGAAATTTATGCTTTTTAAAAATATTTGCATAGAAAATTTATTATTTTTCCTTTTTTTTTAAACAGATGACCTCAGAGAAAATTCATTGTTGATTACAAATACTAAAGATTATTTGTATTATGGAATTCTGGGTGAGTTATTTTCACTTTTCTTTTTTTTAAGTTTTTAAATTTGTATGTTATTATAAAGATGTGGAGTACAATTCAGGATTAGGTATACAAGTGGTTATCGTACTACAAGTGGTCATTTTACAGTCTCTTTTCATTTCCTAAGTTTTTTACTTATCTATTTTTATCAGGAAAGAAAAAAACAATCTTAAGGATGACTGCCATGTACCAGCCATACTGGAAAAGGGTCTTTCTCCCACCCAACACATTTCACACTGAATGGAAATTTACGTTTTCTAATTTACTGCCATATAAATATATAAAAGTGAAAATTATGTTT